AATTGCACCAACACAAACTTGTTATAACATCAACTAGTCCCAAAATCCCTTTCGCGCTCTGTTTTCTTCACCTTTTGGACTTATGACTTAGTGTGTAAAAGCACAAGTGTTCATTTTACAGTTATTTACATGGAAGAAAGGCAAAGAGCCATGTCACTATTGCTCACTACATCAGAGGAGCCACTAACAATGTTCGTGACAAATCACATACTTATTGAATGAATTTTGGAACTTTTCTTCAAAATATTAATTTCAGTAAGAAATCTCTTAGCTTTTCTTTACTAAACCATCAAGGAAGCCTGTAAAAAGTTTTGATGACCTACATTTATGGTATTTTTCCAACATCGGCAACAATGCGAGATACACTGAAGCATCATTTAAGGTAGGATAGGAGGAAAAGACAGCCACTAGCAACAAGCTGACAACCAGATGAAGATGTGCATCTTTCCTTTAAAATGACTCGATAGGTGATGAAAACTAAGAATATTGGTGAAAATCTCACCTTAAGCTAAGCAAAAGCGGTACTACATATACGAGGAGATTGATTTGGAACACAGCTAAGTAAAAAACTCGGAAATGTTCGAAAACTTGGGTGAAGAAGTACCAAACTAAGCCAACATTTGGAGTCAGATCATCTACTTTTAAGCTGGAATAAAGGATTCAATATTTCGCACAATGGAAGAAGTCGTTGATAGAAAAAACTTACATAAACACATATGTATCTTCAATGAAACTCCAATTCATTCCATTTAACAGCCAATTCATCACAATTATGAACCCAAATCCTGTAGTCAGCCCTGCCACAGCGAGTAGGCGTTCATGTATAGACGGGAAACGTAACAAAATTGAAGCCAAAATAACGACTGGGTAGAGTGATAGGCTCGATGAGAACGAAAGAAGTGCTAAGCATGGTAGTAGCAAACCTAAATTGGATTTAACACACTAACAAAGTGAAGGTGGGAGTTAAAGGAGTATACCTGTGCTAAAATAGAAGACAAAAGCAGCAGCGATGAGATTATGGAGTACGGAGATGCTGAGAATTGTTGAACTTGCAATCGTGA